CCCTCTTTTTATTCAAACCGTTTATTAATTTTGGACCACTTGTCCACCCCCTCCCCCCTTTTTATATCTACCCCCTTTTTTAATTCGATACCTTAGAGTACCTTAGAAATACAAAGTTCTATTTGATATTTTTTACCGTTTTGAGTCACGAGAACATGTATTACGCATTAGTATTAAGACCATGAGGTAAAAAAGCAAATATTCTCTATTTGAATCTGCTTTATCAAAATCGCAAGATCTTCCAACGGGAACTCCTACAAAGCGATAGCCAACCAACCGTCGAGCGATCGGTTTGTGCCACGATGTTCGCTTTGCGCCCTCAGTCTGGCTTGCCCCCACCTTCCAAACCGAACCGATCGTGCTATTTGGCTTAGGGTACCGCATAAAAGAGGATCGAGGAACCGATCACCCGACTCGTTGCCTCAAAAACAAACATTGCTTTGTGCCACGATAGCCGTGCGCCCTCAACCTGGCTAGCAAACCGAACCGATCCCCCACCAACCAATGGGCACTGGGTATCGAAAAAGCTTGACATGTCGTGAAACAAAAAATTTTAGACGTCAGATTTCTCAAAACTAGTTACTGTGCAGATGAAACTTTGTAATTCTTGGGCAGAGTACTGTCTGTTGCCCTGAACACAATAAATCGTTGCCAATTATAAAACTAGTTTTTTAAAATGTATTTATGGGTGTTTTGTGGGTGCTCTGGTGTGGTTTGCTCCTTTGTTTCATTTTAATAAATGTTTTATGGCGCTCACAACATAATTACGTAATAAAGTGCCAAAGATTAGAGGTGTTTCAGGAGAGTAACAGACACAAAAAAGGAGGAGAGATAAGGACGATGTATATTTGATAAGAAAGAATGAGAAAACAACAGCAGAGCGCCAGCCAACCTCCCACTTGCTCTTTCTTTACTATTAAACGTCTATCGGCCTTATCTCTTCTTTTTGTGTTTGTTACTCTCTTGCAGCACCTCAAATCTTAGGCATTCTTCTTCCTCTACACTTCCTCTTCCTCCTCCTCTCCCCCTCCCCTCCCCTCCTCCTCCTCCTCCTCCTCCTCCTCCTCCTCCTTCTTCTTCTTCTTCTTCTTCTTCCACACTTGAAGTGCGGTATCTGTCATATTTGGCCGTCCTGCTCAGTTCATCTGTCGGCCCGTATTGTAGGCTTAAAACACCTGTACCATAGGTACATAATATAATAATATGTTGTCTCAGTCTTGAGTGTTGTGTTCTTAGTCAAAATAAAATCACTTGTTCTTGGCGGGACAGCTCATGGTAGATCTAGCTATCAGGTGTATGGGGTGCTTTAAATAGTGTATTTATAAAATACACGTTTTTATTTGTGTGTAGTTAACGCTGTCATCTGGTTGCTCTTTCTGTGCGCCTGCTTCGGAACTTATTTGACCTTATTGTGCTGCAAGTGCCCTAAAACTTTCATTAAACCTCAAATCCCTCTAGGCTTTTTAAAAGTGGTAGCAAATGTTTGCTACTCTTTTTTAACAAGCATAGAGATGTGTGTGAGAGTGTGTGTGTGTGCGTGTGAGCGTGTGTGGGTGTGCGTGTGTGCATGTGCGTGTGAGTGTGTGAGTGTGTGTGTGTGTGTGTGTGTTTGTGTGTGTGTGTGTGTGTGTGTGTGTGTGTGTGTGTGTGTT